GAAACGAACGTAAATCATACACCCAGACGGTGTCCCCAATGCGCGACGATAGCACAAGGCAATAACCGGTCTCAACCTCTCTTTATCTATATTTTCATTTCATTTCATTTCCGTTCGCATTTAACTGAAAACAAGGGGATCACGTCACCATTAGTAATCAATTATGAAACGGGTCAGTAATGGCTGTCAGTGTCAGCAGTGTTACGTGGCGTGGTGACACGTGGGGAATTTGTGTTGCAGATCAGAATGCTCACCGTGTTCTGCCTTAGAAAGCGCAACTGGCACGCGGGACAATCATGTTGCCAACATGATCATCATCAGTATCATCTCGAAACACAGAAATGTCTAACTTTAACAAAATCCACGCTCTACCAAGTTTGAGACACATTTCCCGAATGTTCTGTGTTCTCTATGTTCTACTCATCATGAATACATGATGTTATTAGCCGTTGCTACTGCGATACTCTTGTAATTATTAACGTAATTAGTCTGATTGTTCTCGTTCCAGGGGAGAACACACATTTTATATTATATTCATGATATATAATAATATATAAAAGAGGAAACGTGGCTTTGTGGGTTCTTTCCATTTTAAAATTGGTGTTGTTTCCTATTAAATTACCATATACTCACAGGCGTATTCGCCAGGAAATGGTAATGGCGATCCCCGAGTCATGTGACCCTACAATCGACTTGAATTTGTCTGAGTGCTAAGACGTTTTTTTTTTTAAACCTGGAATAGAACAGGAAAGCTATCCATAGAAAACATGCGTGCTTAGTCACTGGCTGCTTTAATTTAAAGGACGGTGGTCGTTGCGCCGCGTATGTGCGACATTTGTGTTGATAAAAATTAATTCTCACTATCCAATGCGCTCATCTAATGGAAATCAGTTTTGGCCTGGGCGAAACGTGCAATAGTATAATCACCGCCGGTGATTCATTCGACACCTTCCAGTCACCAAAAGAATTACATAGTTAAAGCTTGGTAACGTCTCAGTTTGTATTCTTCGACAGTAATAGTCGCCATCTTTATTCATATGAATCTCTTATCTCGCGCATGCGTGGTGGGACGACCACAACCTTTAATTTAAGTACTCGGCAAGCTCAACAAAATTACCCCATCAGTCACTAACTTTCACCATATGTTGATACTGAACTCACAGGAGCCAGAACAGCATCTGCTTTACTGCTAAAAATAAACCCACCTTCTCAAACGCACTTACACGTTCGGGCCAGCTGCTTTAAAGTCTATAGCTGGAGAATTATGGCCAGTAACACCACGGCTTGTCTCTAATCAATGCAAAAAGTTACCAGTTGCAACGTGATCGCTGGTTGGCTGTTCATACTGTTAATCAATTGGCTGATGTATAAGAGGTATTACATCACAGCGTTGGTTTTACATCGACGCAGAAATACAAATTCGCGGATTTCATTTCTCATGTGGATACAAAATACGCCTGTAGATACAAAATAGGCATGAGCACTCTATAAGGCAATATACAAATGAATACAAGTGCTGAGGTCTGTACAACTGTATAACACGAACAATATGGAAATAATTTTACAATCAACAAGTGAACACCAATGTAACGTGTATATTATGATTATAGGTGATGGGTTAACAATCAACATGTGACCAATGACGTAACAGGTACGATATAGACAGAACTGTGTTAACGTATGTATGGGATATTTAATATAAATATATAATAAGATACGTACTTCTTAAGTAAAAAGTAATAAAAGTAGTAAAGTACAAAAATAAGCGATAACAAGGGAGTCTGAGAGTGATAGAAGGGCAAAACAAAAAATTCATGACTCTCATTTCACAAAATAATCACATTTGACAAACACCGCAATTATATATTACCCGTTATTAGCAAAATTATAGAATCCTCTGTAAAGTCTCAGCTACTAACATTTCTTGATAAATTTAATATTCTCTTACCAACATAAAATGGTTTTCGTAAGCACTATAGCACTAAACTTGCACTTGTTAGTCTTGTTTCATTAACATTATGGAAAATATGAACAAAGGCTATGTCACATTTGGTATCTTCAAAAGCCTTTGTTGATACCATAGACCATGTTATTTTGCTTCGCAAACTTGAACAATATGGGGTTAGGCGTCTCCCACTTCTGAATCAGTGGTTTCAACGTTATTTAGATACTCCGTACCAACAAGTAGATGTAAACGGCACTACGTCATCTAAGAACAATTAAGTGTTGGATTCCCCAAAGGTCAGTTCTCGGTTCTTTGCTATTTCTACTTTATATTAACGATATAAACACCTGTACTAATGTCTTCGATTTCCGACTGTTTGCTGATGATACTAATTTATCTAACTTCATGGATAAACTCACAGTTAACACTGAGAAAACTAACTACATGATAATATAAAACCGGCTCAAAAACACGTCCAAATTGATGGTTGCCTAGAAATTGACTACTCGCCGATAGAGGGCGTTTCCAATGTAACCTATCTGACAGTCTAAATTAATCATCAATGTCATGGAATTCACACATTAACAAAATTACTAATACCGTCAGTTCCAATAATGGCATCATCTCATATATCAGACATTATGTAAAAACGACACGATATTATAATTATAGTTACAGTAGAACGTCGATTATCCGGACGTCGACTATCCGAAATGTTCGGTATGCATGTCTGGCTGTGTTTCGTATAATACAAAAGTCAACTGTGAAAATAAATACTACAGTCGTCTTGTGTGATTTCCTGGAGCAACACTTTCAATAAAGCTATTATCGACACGTAATCTGACATCTTTCACGTGTACGTTCATTGTTTACAGTGTCCGCGCAAGCAATGAAACGAATTACAGTATCCAATGATTTCCTAAATTCAGACAAGCCTATTATGCAACACCAGTGTTCCACTGTAAATAACAAATGTCCTAAAAACACAAAGTTCATCAAATGTCTTTTCCACTGTTCACAGTCAGATCCTCAACTTTACCAAGTTGCAAGTCACCGCAGTTCGGATACGTTTCCCGGGAAAATTGTACGGGGTTACACTGCCGCCAAAGAAACGCGGCAATGAGTCGATCCCATGTTTTTTCCCGATTTTTAATTTTAATGTCCATTATCAGAAGTCACATCCTTTTCGGAATAAAAAAAGAAAGAAAATAACTTCTGGGATGTCTTGCCACAGAAGCGACGCCAGTTTAATAGTGCAGTGAAAAAGAGTGACAAAACGACAAAACCTTGGTGTGCCTCTTTGATGGTTTATCAGCAGACAACGGCAACCAATGACCACAGTCGGCGGGCCGTTTGATGGTTCACAGCGTCGAAGTGTTTACGTCCGAGGATCACAGTAGCCAACCTGGATTTTTACAACAATTTATTATGTCAATCGTTCTAGGTGTTAAAAACTTTGCTGAATCCAATAAAATCGGGACATCTTGTAGCAGTTTACCATTCAAAAATCCACGAGCAATCTGGTAACATCGAGCCGATCTATACACAGTGTATACGAAGCGACCTTTCGCCTGTTTACTTTATCAGCGTCTTTTATCTAGCGTTGGCATGGCTACCCCAGTGAAACGCAAACGCTGCGTGCTTGATTTGGACGCGAAGGTGTCAATTATAAATCGACTAGAACGTGGCGAAACCGCAAGCAATCTATCTACCGAGTAATGTGTTGGTTAATCAACGATATCCGATATCAAGGCAAAACAAAAGCTGCTGGATTTTTCCAGTAAAATGGATTCAAGTGCAGGACTGAAACGAAAGATAATGAAAACAGCCATTGATGATCGTTCAGAGAAATCCGTCTTCACTTGGTTCCGGGACTTGGTTTTCCCAAGAAAGAAGCAAAGGAACTTTATTATCGCTACATTTTACGGACAATTTGAAACATTTTTTAACATTCCAGCGTGCAACATTTTTATTACAATGTATTACTGATTAAATAAAAATGTTTTTAATGACGTACTCTACATGTACTATTGTTTGATTTCATTACAGTCATATGTGCGTTAGAATTTGTGTGTACGTGAGCCTGTAATCTTGAGCACGCCCACACAAAATCGCATATCCGAACTGTTTGCATAACCGAACAAAAGCATGTCCCCCTAACAGTACAGATAATCGACGTTCTACTGTATAAGTATATTATGAATTACGACAACGTAAGATTCATTTTGCTTAAATTAACTACGTTCACATTCATTCAATGCACACAATAGTGCTACAATTTAGGGCGCCCTCAAAGTTCTTACACTCGTATCTTAGAGGTGTCACTCATAGTAAACACATATACTCCTGAGAATTCGGCAAACGTTTTACCTTTCATTATTTGTCGATGCTGATACACGTGTAGAAAATAAAACAAATCACCATATTTCAGCCGTACCCTTTGGGTAGACTTTGAATAATTGGTTTGGCACCTTTAGCGGAAGGTAAGAGCTGCTAATACCCTTTGCGCTATTATAGAAAATTGTAGTAAGTAACCGAGGTTCTTTGTGATTATTCAATATACCTTCGTCAGTGTAATATCTGATTCAGATATTACACTGGGAATGACCGTGCTAGAAACGCCTGGTTAAATTTAATAAATACTAAGGACTACGATTTTCTACTGCCGTGTATTATATCGGCCCTTTCTCCAATTGTGTAACCTTCTACGCTATCTTGGTGACATAAGTACTACGTTATTGAACGACAGTGGCGGTGGAACGGGGGGTGCAGAGGGGCGGTCGCTTCTTCGAAAAAAATGGGAGGGGGCTTACGTCGCCCCTCAAAAATCAAGCTGAAACCATTTGTGTCAGCAAAATGCGCCCCTCAAAGTGCAGGAAATAGCGTCTCAGAGGGTCTATATTTCAAAATGTTTAAGGGGAGCATGTCCACGGACAGACCCCCCCCGTGCAAAATTTCGTGCCGTCGCCTCTGAACGAGTCAGGGCAATTAACACGTGCTAGTCACGTGCCTGTGTGAATCATCGCATCGCTTATATTGTCCGCGTAGGAAGGATCTAAACGTCTCTATAATGAGTTATTAAAAATAAAGAGCAAACCACTACGCAGGGTAAGTTTATAATCGACGAGGGCGCTTGACTTGCATCCACGGCAGATGTCAGAGTAAAGTTGTACACTAAAGCATCACGGGCATGCTCCGATATAAACACTATGGTGGATTCTGTACTGTAGCCGTCGGCAGCAGCCTAAAAGGAACATAAAATAACAAACATTAACGCACTGGTCAACGAGTCAGTAGTTGTTATGGTAACAGTACTAACAAATAGGTGTTTTTGCGAAAGACTATGATTGAGAATGGGAAGAGTCAATATAGTCATATATTTCCCCAATGTGTAATAAACAACCCTCTCTAAAAAATATTGTTGATTTACAAAAAAAAAATGTGCACAAATGGGTATTACGAGTAGGTGCGTGAGTTTCTTGGCAAAAAAAGATATATCTACTTGAGCACATAACGTTGATCATTTGACACGGCTGTGCTTTCGCGTGAATGAGGGTTCACAATAACAAACGATGAATGACTTATTCTGCGAGAATTATTTCGCGTGTTATTGTATCGTGATATTATTGTCCGTGGTCGAGTGATGTACGGCGTGTTTTGTTATTTGTGCTGGTGTTTATTTTTGTTTTACTTGTAGTCTTGCCATCCTTGAATTAATTGAAAGAGTGGTATTATTTATATACACAGACGAACACAGAAGTGAATTTCACTGTATGTTGTGGTATGTGACTTCATTAGAATATCTACTTTGGTGAGTGATAGTGAGGCTATTATGTTCTGCATTGTGATCACGTGTTAAATTGTTGATTATCTCTATTAATTCGTCTTATAATTATCGTAAACTCATTAGTTGTTATCACTATTATAATCGCCCATTCCTAAATTACTGGTAATATTATAAGTTTGTCCCATTTACGAGACTGTTGCATATACAAGTTATTATAAAAAGGTTCAGTATACTGTCATCTTAATATTTTATGTATTGTTATGTATTTTCCTTTTTTCGTATTTTTGTAAATTGAAAAGTAATAAAATAAAAAATAATGTTAAAAATAAAAATAATCAAAGAAAGCTTAGAAAGAACTCCCATGTGCTGAGAGTATTGGAGACACATTAAATATAATTCGAAATTACTTAGCTGAAAACTAATTATGCAAATCAGAAAATTAATATGACCAGATTTGAGTGTAAAACTAATGAGGTCTGCGCAATGTAACAGAAAATCTATGTCTCCAAGTTTAATTGAAATGTGATTAGAACCAAAAAATTATGAATTATTATGCTTATTAGGGAATTAATATGAACAGATTTTTACCCCAAACTAATTAGGTTTGTACATTGTCCTAGAGCATCTT